TGCAGACTTCAAAGGGGGGGTGGTATTGGGCTGGGTGTGCTGGGCCAAATCCTGTCTCTTGCTTTCGACTTGGCCCAGCGTTCAAACGAAACCTCAGTCACAACCTTGCTTGGAGCAAGTAGGTGCAAGTCCCAAGTGGGCGAGAGGCCAAGGTGTTCCCCTGCGCCATTGCAGGGCAGCCGCGGAGTCTGGCCCCTGGACTCCTCCACGGAGCTCAGTCGGGCAAGCGAGCAACCCCCGGTTGGGCTCTGAAGTCAGCCTGGGCCTGGGCAGAAGGGGCCAGTTCAGGGATGGGCACCGCTGGCTTGGCCACGGGGAGCGGGAGGGAGCGTGGCACCGCCACCAGCCCCAGGCCGGGGATGGGGAGCCGCGTCAGTGGCCGCAGAAAGCCCCGCTTCCTCACTCGTCGTTTCCAGAACGGAAGCCGCCCCGACAAGCTGTGGCAACTTCCGTCTCGGTCTGCTCTGTGCTCAAGCCACGCTTCGGCACGGATTGGGGCATGAAATCAGGCATTGCGTGGCAGAAGAGTCCGGGAGACACCCCAACCCCCGTCGTAGTCTTCCTCTTGCTCCCCTTCCTGCCCCTCCCTTCCTTGGCCCGCCCTAACGGACTCCCCTCGGCAGTTTTGGGCGGATAGTGAGAAAAGATCCCCTGGCCCAGAGCCTCTGCCCCTGCGGGATGGAAGAGACGGACCCACAGGGCACGTCCTGCTGAGGGGCTCCTTCCGCAGGGACATTTGCGCTGCCCTCACTTCCCCACGGATGGACCGCTTCCTGGGCCGTGCGGAAGAACAATGAAGCAACTTGCTGCTGGCCGACCCGACGAAGGCATGCAGTGCCGCTGAAGTCCTCGCGCCCGCGAGTGTTGTTCAGAGGCTGGTCCTGGGGGAGGGTGGTCCTGCCCAGTTGGATGAAAGGCCAATCAGGGAATGTCACCTCCTCAAGAGGACTGATCTTGTGTCGAAGTTTGTATTAATCCGACTGGAGTTTTATGACAGATGACCTTTAATGTATTTTCTTCTTTTTAGAATCTATTTATTCAATGGAGCTGGTCTTTGACCATAATGAAGTCTCTCTCTCTCTCTCTCTCTCTCTCTCTCTCTCTCTCTTTCATCCTTCCTTCTTATGGCAGAACCTGAGGTCCTCCAAGGAAGCTAATTGCAGGAATTCTGGAAAGACAAATGGAATTTATGAATGGAGGTGGTGCTTCCTTGCACACAATTTGTTTGAGGCTTGCCAGAACATGCAAATCGCCGTCTACTTCAGAAATGGACAGTGGGGCGCCGGCCGGCTTGACTTCTGCTGCAAGGGGTCGGGCCTGGGAGGTGAAGATCAGGCAGACTGCAGCTCTGCCAGGCTTGGCCCTGGCCAGGAAGGGAGCCGGGTTGACCCTCCGCCGAAAAGATCACTTGGCGCCATCTTCATTCACAAAGGTGCCCACCCCCAGGGGTGCCACTAGCTGCACGTTTTCCTCAGGCCCCCCTGTGCTCCAAGTCTCGAGCTTGACAGGTCCTGAACCCAGCTGGGTCCACCCATTCAGGCCATTCTCCGCCCCCCCCCCCCTTTTCATGACACAGAACTTTGCCGCTGGCACTTTGAGCCTGGACGGAAGAGCAAGCCTTTCCACTTCTCTCCCTTTCATGTGGCCAAGGCAGTGTGGCATAGTGCTTAGGGACCAGGACTTGGGGGTTCCGGGTCCAAGTCCCCACAGCCCAGCCATGGAGCCCACCAGGGGATTCCGGGCCATTTGCGAATTCCCGGCCTTCCCTTCCTCACAGGGCTGCTGTTGAGAGGATGGGACGGAGAGGGGAACCCTTTGTAAGCAGCCTTAGGTTCCTTGCCAGGAAGGGAAAGTGGAGTATGAATCCAATGCAAGGAGGAGGAGGAGGAGGAGGAGGAGGAGACAGAACAACCATGGCATTAACCCGAAATGCCCAGTCTGAAAAGAAAGTGATGTCTGGATGTAGCCACGCTAATAAAAGGAGGCGGGGGGGGGGGAGCAGCCGAAGGAGAAGGAGGAGAGGAGGAAACTACCGTGGGATGAAACTGAAATGCCCAGCCTGGAGACCTCTGAGCTGGAAAGAGGCACCAAATTGACGCTGTTCTTCTTCCCTGGAAAAGGGACGGAGCGTGCAGTGCAAGGAGGCAGGTGGAAAGAGCGCAGTTCTCCCAGACGCTATGCAGACAGCAGGGCAGAGCAGCAGTGCAGTGATTTATGACAGGATAGCAAGCTGCAGGTGCTTTTCGTCCCGGCTCCCAGTGACCGCCTCCAGCGGGTTTTTCACATGAAGGCACCCTGGCAGAGCTCTGACGAGCGGGGGTGAGGCTTTTCAAGCCACGTGCATGCAATCCAAGCACTCTGTGAGTGTGTGGCTGTGCGATTTCGGCTATCCCTCCTTCGCCAGCCCTGTTCTGCCTGCACACGCCACGCCCAGCATCGCAAGACGCTGCAAAGCGACCTTCTCGAGCGGGTCTAGGCTTCTCAGGCCCTTTTCCCCCCTCTAAGGCATGCCCTGGTGCTGCTCCGGTTTGCCTCATTTGCTCGATCGCTCTCACCTGGTCACCCGCAGCTCCGCCCACCAGCGCCGTGACGGCTCTGCCTGTTCCCTTTAGCCCAGTTACCGCCTCATGGCTGACCCTAGAGTGCCCTCCGGTGGCCAATACGGTGAACTACTCCCTTGTATACGAGGCTTCTCTCTTCTACGGGCTTGAAAAGATAAAGCAGACATTCCCCGATTTTCAGGGGATTTGAATCCTCAACATTCGGCTCCACTGTGTTGGTTCTTTCCCCCATGTTATACCACCCATCGGAAGACGCTTTGCAGAAGGCATCTCTGAAGAAACCAAACCCAGCAGATCTGCCTGTTCAGGATTTCTTCCAAGCCTAAATTGTAGTCCTCATGAATGAGATTGGTTCACTGCTGAAGTGTGCCTTTTAAAGGCATGCCACTTTGATTAAAGCATGTAAACTAATCGCTTTCTATTTTCCCCCCTAACCCACAAGTTTGAGAATGTGTAAAGCCAAGCCAAGCCAAGCCAAGCCAAGCCAAGCCTCCATTTATCTTAATAGTCCATGTTGTGTATGGAACACGCTCTGGAGTTTTGCAAACTCTCCTACACCCACAGTTTTCCTCACTACTACCTTCCTTGAGTAATCACAAACCATCTCAGCAAGGGAGCTTAACAAGCCAATGGTCTACAGAACCGAAGGGTGCATAGGATTGCTCCTGTTTCCAGATCCAAGGGCAGGAGCTGAGCTCTGACCGTGTAGCAGGGGCTTTGCCTGTGTCCCCCATGCCTACTGCTTTTCTGAGGGTAGGGAATTGGAGAAGGGTGAAGGAGGCATTCCTGGGGGGAGGGGAGGAGAGCCAAACCACCAAGAAATAAGGCAACCCACCAGTGCTCCAGTCTCCTTCCCACCCTGTCAGCACTGAAACAGGGCAGCCCTCATGTGTGAGCAATTGCAACTCCAGCCTCCTGATCACTTTGGCCCAATTAGCAGCTTACTACTGAAGCTACGCTGCCCCACAGTGGCCACTACTGTGTACTGCAGTTTTTTATCCCACTAGAGCACTCAAGAGTTCAGCATGCCAAAAGGGGGCCCTCCAGTGGCAATAATGTAAATTGCAATATCAGTGGTGAATGAAGGGTGCCCTCATGTGGACATTAGTGTGAACATCTAGAGGCATTTGCAGAGGTGGACAAACGGGGGGGCCTGTTTCTCCTCCCAGGCTTCATGGGACACTTTTAATCCTCCCAGTTCAAAGCATTACACACTCTGAGCACAGAACAGATGGGAAGGAGTCCTCTTGCCCCTTGTTTTCTTGTGTAACTAGAAATGCTCAACAATGCAGTCAAAGGTGAACGAGGCATGTATTAAAACAGCCCAGATCCTCCTACCTATTGGAAGGATGTGTGTAAATGAGATTTGTGGGGTCAGTCCTCATCTGGCTTCCCACATTGCTCGATCTCCACCCTATTTCACTTGCGCAGCTGAGAAGCTAAGTGGCAGGTGATGGCTGAAAGTGCATTTTTCTAGTATCGTGTTGTGTGTAAAGTACCCCGCTATATGAGCAACTGCATCCCAGGACACTTGCAAGCACTTTCACCTGAACAGGTGCTCTAATTGCCCATTCCTACCCATGCCTGACCCTGATGCTGGGAAGGATTGAGGGCAAAAGGGGAAGGGGACGGCAGAGGATGAGGGGGCTGGATGGGGTCCCTGGGGCGGTGGGAGTGGGCTTGGGGGGACTCCAGGCGATGGTGGAGGACACAAGAGCCTGGAGGAATGTTGTCCATGGGGTTGCGATGGGCCAGGCATGACTTTGCAACTAAACAACAACGCCCACCCCAGATTTCTATCTTGGCATCCACAGCACTCATTCCTAAAACTGTGCAGTGCCCAAAAAGTGCTCACTACCCCCCCCCCCCGAAGCTTCACAGTGGTGGGAGGCCTATGAGTAAATAAATTACATGGAGCTTCAGAAACCATGGCTGGCAGTCCTAAATTCTGCAGGGGAGGGATGGAAACACAGGTATGTTTTTGCTTTAAACTCTTATTGCTTGGATGACGCGTGCTTATTTATTTACTTTTACAATGGTAGAGGACTGCACAGAAATTGGGGAACTAACTTAAGTCCAGTGATAGAAGAAAGGGATGGAGCCAGGTGAAAGGGACATGGACACCCGGAGGACGATGGTGAGCATGCTCGAGGCTTTCCACTCTGTGGCCCACTGAACGTCTTCTGCTTACATGCTCTTCAAAGAAATCTCTCAAATGACTATTTACTTGGGGGAAAATGTTCCTCAGAGATCAGAACTCTGGGGAAGAAACTCATGTTTAACATGAAAAACTTTACATGAGTGGAGGACGATGCTTTGGGCCTAAGGACCCTTCCTCAAGCTCCCACCCCTCCCGTTCAACCACGTCTTCCGTTATGTTCAGAATTCAGCCAGCTGAATTTCCCCTCTCCAAAAAAAAAGAGAGACTCTGCCCAAAACTATAATTCACAGTATTCGTTATTATTAATATATCTTTATATATTTCCAAAGTATAGGTATATTCACATACAGGAGACATCCTGGTGGTTGGTGCTCATGATTTTTCAGAGCAGAGACCAGTAATGATGGTGAACTCAAGCTGACAACCTTTCTAAGATGCTACTCTAGTCGTATCCTCTTCCACTTTCCTCGGGCTCCACGCTGGGGCTCACTTCTCTTCATAGTGTCCTCCGTGAAGTGGACCTACTGAAATATGGCAGCTGGTCTGCCATGTTTAGGCCTCAAGCAACTCAGTGACAAAGGAGGCAAAGACGAGGGGGGATACGGGAGGCAAGTGGCAGTGCGACGGAGGAAGGTCGCACGGATAGAGGTCCCCATCTGGATATTCGTAAGGTTCAGGGATGAGAATCTCCAAGTCTGTCAGGGTTGTCTCGGCCACGTAGCTTGGTGGTTCCAATACGAGTGTCCATGAGGGGAGGCTCACACTGTAGGAATCCCGGTAGGCACACGGTTCTCCGGGAAAAGGCATGCTTACGAAGAGGGGAGGTAAATCTGAAATAAAGAGAGGACAGGAAGAGGAGCATTTTGCTTTCTACAATTATCTAGCTGTTCAACCTGTGTGTTAGCAACCAACCATCTGGAGCCAGCAGTGTTGAGGTGGCGCATGTTCACGCACATGTGCTTCAGAGGAAGAAGACGAGGCTAATGGGGAGCACAACGGATGCATATAACTTGAGCATGAAGCTGAGCCAGTGGATAGAAAAAAAATGTTTCCATCTCCCTGCTCCCCTCTTGAAATATGACCTGCATCAAAGGCATCGAATGAAAGTTCTTGACAAGGGAATCGGATAATATAAGAGGACATGCTTCTTCACAGAACACCGATTGAAATGATGGGAATTGTTGACAATTCTGCCACAAGGCTATGGATAGTTTAGATTCCTGATGAGTATATTTCACTTCCATTATCAGAGGCAGACGTAACACAGGTCAGGTTTTTGGGAACACAAGTGAGCTTGCGGCCCCAGGTTCATGGGGTTTCCTATGCACGCCTTGCATTCAGAGCCTGCTGGATCAACACAGAGTGCCTTTCCTGTGGAACGCGGGGCCCTAATCTATGGACGGACATCCGAGAGTCCACTCCCCTTTCTTGGGAAAGGTTCCACGCACCACTGAGCCCGAGGCAGCATAAGCCAAATGGCTGTTTTCTGTAAACAATCCAAGAGAAGCACAGCGCCTTGGATCTGATCCCAACCGTAGTCCCTGTAAGCAGGGCCAAGGGTTTCTCAGCCATCGGCTCCCTTCATCAAATTCCCAGCATTACTGGTTAGTATTTCTTTCGAAATGCTCCATTTCAGACAGAGGCATTGCAATGCTTGCCTATAGGGAGGACAACATTTTCAGCAGGGATGCAATCCGATGAGGCTTGAACAAAACGACTGTGCCATAGCTTGAACGACAACCCCCATTTTTTTACTTTGGGGTACAGGCTGGGGATGAATCACATTAATTCTCATTTCCTGCCTTGCACCATTTCAGCAAACTCCCCACCCAGCCGAAACAACCCCAAATAGCCTTCAAGACTGTGGTCCAGTTCCCCCATTTTAGTTTTCTTTGTTTCTTTTTGGGGGAGCTGTGCAACTCTGCCATGCGCGCGTGCGTATGATTAAGAGTCTCGGTTCTGAGGCCCAATGACTTCCTTGCTGGGAGTCCAAAGGCTGAGCCTTTTACACTAACTCGCTTGCAGTCGGGGGGGGAAAGGACAGTGCCAGCCCCTCCCCAGGATCATGCATGCACGCTATGCTATGCTATGCTAGCCGCAAAGTCGCGTCCGACCCATCGCGACCCCATGGACAACACTCCTCCAGGCTCCCCTGTCCTCCGCCTTCCCCTGGAGACCCCCCAAGCCCACACCCACCGCCCCAGGGGCCCCATCCAGCCACCTCATCCTCTGCCGTCCCCTTCTCCTTTTGCCATCTATCGCTCCCAGCATCGGGCTCTTCTCCAGGGAGTCCCTCCTTCCCTTTAGGTGGCCAAAGTATTTGAGTTGCATCTTCAGGATCTGGCCTTCCAAAGAGCAGTCGGGGTTGATCTCCTCCGGGACTGACCGGGTGGATCGCCATGCGGTCCGAGGGATGTGCGGGAGTCTCCGCCAGCGCCACAACTCGAAGGCCTCAGTTCTTCAGTGCTCAGCCTTCCTTCTGGTCCAGCTTTCCCAGCCGTACAATGCAACTGGGAGCATGCATCAGACTCAGGTGAAAGGGAAGGGGGGTTGCTTCGGGATGAGGAGCAAAGCAGGCCGGCACTGCACGCCTTTCCACCCCCCAACCCAGTTTCCTTCCCTCCCTGGTACACTATCGTGATGGCTGAGAACAGCCGTCTAGATGAAACGCACGCATGCGGTAGAGATCGCCACCGCCACATCCCTAGCTGAGCATTGGATGCACCTAGGTCGCCGAGGCCGGCGTGCATCTAAGGTGGAGGGCATCGGATGGTGCCATCTGCTAGGTAAGCAGAAACGCATCAGAGAGAATCCAAGATCTGCTCTGAGGCTGCCCTCCTGCACGCACGGCTGCAGAGTGCATCCCCTGCAACAGTCCGTCTGCTTGCCTCTCAGGAAACACATGAGCAACCAGCCAGCCAGCCAGCCAGCCAGCCAGCCAACGGATCAATCAGATAAACCTGCTCCCAAGTTGACGCCCGACGAGCGGCATGGAGATTCTAACCCGTCACCTCAGACGATCTTACCTGCTCCTTCTTAGGGCTTCAGCAACTCCGGTTAGAGCCGAGCGGAGGAGGAAGCGTTCTTATGCAGCCTATTCTGATGCCTTGAGGCTGGGAAACGCCTTCTGCACATGCCATTCTAATTTGGCTGCCTGCCTCCTGCTGCCTTTCAATTGCTTTAATTTCTCAGTTCCTGTTTACAGCAAACTGCAGCCTCTCTCGCTCTCAGCACTCTGCTCAAGAGAGAGCAGTTTCAACCTACATCCCTTTGCTTGCCTTCAATTGTGAGAACACACATACTGTTCCATGTGCCCCCGGGAAGTTTCGTTTCAGCCACTGCGGGGACCAAAATCTGCCAGCTCCCTGACTGTTCACCCTCCTTTCCAGCTGGCCAGTAGCAGTCACCTTCTCCGCACATCAGTCTGAGGGAAAGCTTTCTCTTGATTTTCCTTG